TATATATATATATACATCTTGAAAAAAAAAATTGTCCTAGTAGGAAAATCCATGGTTGTATACCACTTCAAAGCTCATTGGCAGAGTATCCGAACGGTAATCAGAAGGTCTTAGGCTCGAAACAAGATGGGGACATACGTATGTGTGTATATATATATATATATATAGTATATGATACTATTTTTACTCATGACATAAATAGGAACCAATTAAAACCAAAAGTTTTTTGAGCTTCCACAAAATTACTCCTACTTTTTGTTTTCTAATCTGTATAATAGAGTTTGAGAGCAAAGGGAAGATAACATGTAGAATTTATACACTTTCTCTTCAATTTAAATAAATTCTATGGAACCTATTGTATACTCAAAAGGTGGAGGACCTATTTTCTTTTTAAGGTGAAACAGATTTTATATCCTTAATAATTTAAGCAATACTTTTCTGAAATTTCCTCCAGAATCTTTCATATTTAATAAAGGAGGAGAGGTTGTGCTTAATTAATGAATGAATTATATATATCTAATAAATAATATTTTTCTCTTGGAAAAAAGACTGGGTGTCTTTCTTGTATATTACAGAATTTGATACTGTCAAAGCATAATGTATAATAAAAGTTGCTATAGTATGTATATAAATACAGCCCACCAAGATATATAATTAAATATGTGATGTTTGGTGTCGATAAAGAATGTCACATAAATATGAAATTTGTACAAAGAAGCATTTAGTATATTGATGTTTTTGTATCATCGTCTGTACATATTTAAATACAACATTTAATTATAAAATATTTTAACCTACTCTATTGTTCTAAAATGTGTGAAGTGACCCATGTCATGTCATGTGTCATGTCATGTGTGAAGTGACCCATGTCAATTTGTATTGTTTTATGTGGTTTGCTTTTTTTTCCTTATAATTAAGTTGTTTGCGCTTGTTAATTTATGCTATACTTTTATACATATTTCTTTATATTATATGGAGTGTACCCCTTAATTAATAAAACTTCAAATCACAGTCATTGAAATTTAGATATTTATCTGATGTTTTCTTTGATTATAAAAAATACTTTAATTATAAAAAATGCTTTAATGCTTGTTTTTAAATCAGTTGTTGACTCAGTCAAAAGAAATCCGTAATAACTGAAAAGATTTAAAAGATCAATTCCGCCATTGATGTTACCTTGAATTATCAATGCATAAGTATGTTATTCCACCGTATGAGAAAATACATTAAGAAGATCTACTGTATTTAAGTTATACCGTATGTATTAATAACCATAAAGGATACACTATTTTCCTAAGTGCTTCAGAAATAAGGCTTCCTTTCAAACTCGCATATATTATATTTACGAAGTGTGTATTTACTGAAAATGTGATATTATCTTCTCTGGCCAATGAATGAATACTTTAGAGTAATGTAATCATTGTTTAAGGTAATGAATTATTACCCAATCAGAGAATCGCCATTTTTCACTCTTAGGTATAGCCTGCCTTATTTTTTATGGTGGCGGATTTTTTACACAAAATCATTGATATCACTAAACATTAATATATTTATTGAGTAGCTATTGAACCTTTTGTATGCAAATACTGTAGCTGATAATAATTATAAATTCATTTCATAATTCTTTAGAATTATTCATCAGTTTAATTTCATGGGTACTGGTTAGTCATGGCAAAGATATATGAATAGATCCTTATATGAAGTGTTATCATATATAGATACTGTAAACTTATTCAACCTCAAGAGCTTGAATGGTTATTGAATAAACCCTTTTTGTATACAATATGTGTCCCTGCAATCTCATGTTTTATAGCCATGTTTCAAAGTTGTGATTGTTTAGAATTGATAAAACAATGCAGTATGGGTACGACAATGATAATACAGTGGTAATATAATTGATACATCGTCGTGGATAACAACATTTGATATAATGATGATCTGATAATGATGACGGTGAAAACGACGACAACGAAGATTATGGTGCTGTGACGTCGACAATTATTCCTGATTATGATAATAAGTATTATTTTTTACAGACATATACTATAATATTATTATTTTTCACTGGTGGGGAAAAAATTATTTTTCTGTAATTTCCCGAAGAGAAGCAACAGAGGAAGGTTTAATATGTGCGGAGATTGGACAGCTTGGTGGGTGCAGCACTTGATGCATGGGCAAGAAGGATGACGACGATCTTGCAGTGATAATAATGAGGATTGTCATTCATCGTCATCGTAATCTGATGTGCAGGTGATATGATGACGATGACGAATATGCTGTGACGTCGAAGATGTGAAGGTGTGTATGGTGATTGTGTTATAATTTTATTATCTATAGTCGTGTGCATGTAGTGGCGTATCTAGAAGTCTTGAAGCGGGGGTCTTGATGATTAATTGAGGGGTTAACTCGCAGTATATGGTGATTTTAGGTGATTTTTAACTACTTGCAAGTGATTTTTTTTTGGGGCCGCAAGTAATTTTTGGAGGGGCACTCCCCCAGATACGTCACTGTCTGCATGTAGTTTTTTTTTTTTTTAAATTAATTAACCATGCCCGTTATGATAAAACTTGTGATTGTGATTATTTTTCATCATGTTTACGTAATTAACTTTCTAATATTAAATAACATTGCATACAGGACTACACAGTTAAGTTATCTCGTATTACGATTAATGTAGTCCTAGTAAGCTTCCTCTAGTCCTCTTCTCACGTGGGTCAATTCACGTCACGGACGTTTAGATTCATATCAAACTTTATGTAGATTATGTACTGTGCTTTTCTCCATGGAGGTATAAAACAATTATTTTTATACCTCTGTGTTCCCACCAAGTCCCATGTTCACTGTATTTTATATTAGACAAAAAATCTAAATTCAAATGAATGTATGGAATAGTGCCTCGATTTATAAACGTATTGAATGGAAAGGAACATTGGTTTGGAATAATGTTTCACCATTATTGTATTGTAATTTTTTTTTTCTAAAAATAAACGACTGTAGGTTATGTCGAATGTTTTTTAAAACAATCACAAAGTGAAAGAGAAAGTGATATTTTTTTCACAAATCGATTCAACATCCGTCATTGTTATCATTTTTATATATATAGCCTACACTTTATATTTTAAAAATATATATCATTCAATAACGTACCTACCATAACGCACCAATTGCATAATGGTAATAAATGACGTACTATTTTCCCTCAGGCTGAGGGAAAATTTAGGAGAGAGCTGGTTTAAGGTACGAGAGTGCAATTTGCAGACACCTAGAGGTCCACATTCTCAAATGTTTCCACCTCAGCCCCAACTGTGGGGGCAGGCCCGTAGCGTTGGGGGTTAAGGGGGTTACGACGAACCGCCCCAAAACTGGAGAATTTCCGTATTTAAAAACGAAAAATTGATAGGCCTATTTGTAGATTTGTCTCCAGAGTATCGGAGATCATACAAGCCAGAAGGTCCACTTTCTACTGAAACGAACCTCCCACAAATTAGGTCACGCTACAGGCCTGGGTGGACTGAGGTGGTGTATGTATGTATATACATACATATGTATATATATATATATATATATATACACATACATATATATATATATATATAAATACATACATATATATAAATACACACATACATATACATATACATATAATATATATATATATATTATATGTATATATGTATATGTATGTGTGTATTTATATATATGTATGTATTTATATGTATGTGTATATATATATATGTATGTATATATATATGTGTGTGTATATGTATATATATATATGTATATATATATATATGCATATATATATATATGTATATATATATATATATGTATATAAACGACCACTACTGATTACAGAGCCAAACCAATGTATACATAACCCAGGTGAATGCAGTGCAATACAAGCTATGAGGCTCGGTTCCAGAGAATATTTTGTCATTCTTAACGCGTCCTACGAAATTCTTACAGACAGCACTAGTCCGTGAATTTGTGAACAAGATCGGAGATCTAAAGATGCATTATGAAGTTAATGAAAATTGCGATGAACTGGTTGACATTTCAGGATATAGACAATTTATTCAACAAATATTTCAAGAGCCACTGCTCTCTTTTTCCGGACGGTTAACACTGAAGGAGCTCTCGAAATATTTGTTGAATGAATTTTCTATATCCTGAAATGTCAATCATGTTCATCTCCATTTTGATAATAGCTTTATATTGTTTTATACTATTCAGAATACGTGCACCCATCGTTAAGATGCCTCTACATTATATATAATTATTTGTATAGAGCAACCCCTCAATTCAAGATAGGGCCTAAGACGGTACAACGTTGTTATGGTGGTTTGAATAAAAAAAATCTTATTGGGATTTGAACCCAAGACCTTCTGGTTACCATTGTTCAACATGATCTATGAAGGCCAAACTGGTTTAGGCCTATAGTTTTGGAATTTCCTGTTAAAACATTACACAATACCCAATGTTCCATGATAGGCCTAGGCCCAAATATCGTTCTTTCATTCTTAGGCTTATGACATCAAATAGGCCTATAGGTTTTCGATATACAGTAATTGTATAGGCCTAAAGGTATATCCAAATATTTTCAGTCCATATCGGCCTATACAGTAATAGGCCTACCACAAATAGTTTTGGGTCCGAAGCTATAATATTTTTATTGATGTAGTTTGGGTAATTATTTTTACCCTCCTACCTTCGAAACAGTAAAACAGGGATGATAACAATCAATATGGTCACCAGGTTTAAGAAATAGATTTTCTCCCAATAACAAGGTCCGTATTTCGGTTGTGCACAATCCACAATATTGTTTTTGTTTTTAAATATCGACAAATTGTTTTTCTGAAAAGATACTTTAAAAAAAATAATTTTCCCCGACAATAATGCAAGTCAGGACATATTTCTGAAGGATGACGTCATTGACGTGGATCGTCTCCATGATAACGTCTAACGAAATGAATGTGTAACAAATAAATTGGCCCCTGGACACATGAGGTAAATACCTTTCAACATATTGCAATGACCTCGGTTATTGGTTGCGTTTGGCATTAACATTTACATAATTACATACGGTAGCTAGAGCCCCCTGTTAAGGTGTATATGGTCTGTGGGTTAACGTATTCAAATATAAGCACTGATATTCACAATTGACTAACTTATATATTATTTACTACACCATAGCTTTCGCAAGCCAGCAAAGACGGCTCTCGAAAGCTTGTAGTAAAAGTTAACAAGTGCCCTACCAGTGTTTTTATTTTATAGCGGTTCCACGCACATACACATTGTTGTGTATTGCAATTAGTGTCGTCTACTTGTTGTACGTTCATAAGCCTACATATCACCATAGTTGTAAAAACATTCACGCTATCATCCCTCCTGTTCCCATAATATCATCATTTTCTACTCAACATTATCCTCATCAAAGTATGTTATTTTTAGAAAGACGAGTTTAATACAATTTGACATTCATCTAGCTAGAGCCCCTCTTCAGGATAATTCGATTCCATTTCAAATCCTTGTGTTTATTCCATTAAATTTACTTATCTAATTCGTTCAATTTGACGGAAGGTTCCATAATTAAAGTGAGTCTGTTGTGCATGACGTTTTTAGTTACGTGTTCGTCAATACAATTATGATGACATCTACATGCATGCACAAGCTGTGCAGGAAGAAAATGAATAACCTGTTCTATTAATATTACTATTAGACCTAGGCCTAGATGTAGCACTACGTGTGTGATAGCCATCTTTTATAAAGAAAAAATGTTATGTTATCGTTCCAGACCTATAGACATGTTTCAGACAATGTTTTGAACATTAGCCTATTTATCAATGAACTTTGATTTCAAGAATTTGGGGGATACCTGGTGCCCATGGAGCAGCCTGTGCCCTTATGTTGTTTGTCGCAGAGATTTATTTATTCCTAGCTTCCTTTTCAACGCATGAAATCTACTTTTCACGAAATTATAAAATCTGTACTCTAAGGCCATCTGATCTTTCAAAATCGCCGTCACTTTTGGTGAGGGTTTTTCTTTAGCTTTTGTCAGAGCAGCCGTTCTATTTAACTGTTGGCCTTTGCTTGGATGCATCAACAAATTAACACAACCTCTGAAAACTGTTGGCCATGTTTTCTCTAAGACCAAGAACGTATCATGTAGTTCTTCTAACAACCCGATGACTTTGAAATCTTTCCGGACGTTCTCCATCGCTCTTGCAAGCGTCCAATCAGTTGGATATTTGCACCGAGGATCGTTCCCGCAGAAGAACGGCAAAATATAAAACATCCTGCGTTGAGAACACTCGTATTTGTTATTAAGAACGCAATCATTGATCGTCTGATATTTTTCGCTCTCAGTTCCATTAAACGTCCATGTTCTTTGTTGAAATCCATCCCCAAACCTTTTGAAATAATACTGAGATGTAAATCTTGCAATGGGATCTCGAATTATGTTGATATAACTCGGTGACTTAAGTCCGTAATAATTAAAATTAATATGATACATGTGTCTTTGAAATAAGTAAGGTGCTTGCAATTGTGACAACACTTGCGCCATCATCTCCTCTTTCTCTGGCGGGAGAATTTTTTGCGTGTACACTAAAGATTCAATCATATTAAACTGATTTCTTTCAGCGAGTATCCTAAAAATATCTAGAACAGATCGACTGCCGCATTTACCAACTCGGTTAAATATTATCCTTGGTTTATTATCGGAACCATCATTATTTAGATCTAATTGGTCAACAAGAGGAAGCAATCCTTGATAAACAACCGTTTCATTCCATTCGTAAATCCTTTTAGGATTCGTGTCGTTTCCGTTGTCGAAATTCCACGATGATTCATCCGAACTCCATGAAACATTATTTTTTGTTTCTGCTATCCGATCGAACTCTGAATTTGAAGTCCACTTAATGCTACCGTCTGCAAATTTACCGTCCAATATATGATGTTTATTCAATTGTGCAAGATTTGGTTTTGCTCTTACATCCGTTGTCTGTAGCTTCAACACGTGTTTAATCAGAAACCTCTTTTGCGTTAAATACCATGCATAACAGCATACAGCTATTACCAACAAAATGTATATCCTTGCACCCTTTAGCAGCCGCATGTTACTTGTTCCAATAGGCCTAAGTAACAACCGCAGTGGATATCAGTCAGCATTGTACTAAAGTCTATACTTACAATTAAAATGGTGTTTACTCAGAGAGTTCTGTTCGGTCTTGCATGACCTCTCATTGACAGGTTGCCAATGTATTCAGTGTATTTGGCTCAGCTGTCTGAGTAATCTCCGAGCTTGTGAACTCGAAGACAATATCCGCCGGATTTAATTGTACAGTAGCTTTTACTAAGAGATCAAAGTTCATACTACATACAATTCTACGTCACAGTGCTATAATTCTTCTACACCATACAATGTCCCTTGGCATGAACATTAAACTTCAAGGTTTTCGACTTCAGTCTTCAGCTGCCCGCTTTCTCCTCCTGATCATCATGCCTATGCTAAAAAAAGTAGCATGTCATGAGTAAAATGTCAATGAGAAAGTAAGAATATAGATTTATGCTTTGGTCTATTGTAAATATACATTTTAACATTTATAGGCCTACTTTACGAATTGTAANNCTATAAACATAGCACTGGGAAGTATAGGGAAAGTTATAATAACTGTGGTATGGTATGATAACCTGTAATGAAATACTCAATCCAGGCCTAGGCCAGCATTTGTACTAGTAATAATTAACACAGAATTATCTTAAAGAACCAGTATAAAAGTATGGTGTTTTAAAATTATATGCAGCAGTATATGGCAGAGTCATTTACCGATTATGATTAATACAATTGACTTTAATAACATTAACAATGGTTAAGAGAAACAAATGATTATGCGATGAATATTAATCGGTAGGTATGAATAAATGTAATCAAAGCATTACATAAATAAATAAATATGGGCTTATAGCCATCGTTCTATAATACATATATAATAAAATTGAATCATGCAGTCGGTACAATGCAGGTTAGGCTTATACAAAATGGGAGGGTGACACTTGCCCTCCCTCACTTACCCTTCAATCAAGAGACATTTTGTCGCAGTGGCAGTGCGAATGTTCAGCCAGCTGTCTCGTCTTCTACCTCCTTACTGTATAAAGGCGTGTAGAAGTGTGACATCTGCGTTTTACTTCATTCGCAACGAGTTTTGACCTTGTGGGGGTCAGGTTGACATGATTGACCTAACAACCCACAAGAGGACAGCCTATATTGATTAACTGGAATACAATTAAAATTAGAAGAATATTTATAAGAACATTTTAAATCATTGGCAAGGTCTATGATTTATTGTATTTAGTGTCAGTCTGCTCTATTGTTGTGGAAATAAATAGCCTATATCGTTGTTATATTGTTTATATCATCTTCGTCATCATCATTATTATTGTTAAACATGGCTCCCTCCAATTAAAGACCAATTCTGGGACCTTGGTTTCCATGGTCTTTAGCAGCTTTGTGAATATAAATGACATTTGTAAATTTGGGACAACAGAAAAGTGGTCTTTAATTTGAAGGGTATTTAGACCTAATTGGAGAAAGACCTTTTTTGTATATATATGAGGACTATTATCATTATTGATGTAATTGTTATTGATGTTTTTTTTTAAATTTGTATTTTATTAAATTAAAATTTTTCTTGTTTTATGTTAATTGTTATTATTGTCATTGCTCTCACAGTGCTGTCTAACGATATTAAACACACTGACGAATCGCTAACCATGACAATATGATGTGGGTCCTAAATAATACCATATTTTCACGCCACTATTGATTGCGCCTACGTTTGGCAGGACAACAAGGAGACACTGCAATTGTGTACCATAATCATATCGTAAGTATGCAGTAGGTCTTCATATTTTGACACACACCAGCTTCAATGACGAGGACTTTACAACCTAGACACCCCACAAAAGCAATCCATTTAACAAGGCCTATTTATATCGTGCATCGTACCATAGTTTTCTTTTTATTTATTTATTTGAACCATATTTAATTAGGGTGAACCATCCAGCAGAAGCTGATCAAGTCTACCATGTTAAAATTATTGCATTATTAAACGACATCCCATTAATGATTGGCTCACAATACAGAATGAAAAAACGGAGTATATTTTGATGGTATATTGGAATGAATTTCTTCCTGAACTTGCACCGATTGGTGGTATAAAACAAAGATCCTTGGTAAAATTATTATTTTATTATAATTATAGTATATCGTTTTTTAGTATAAAACTGTAATGTAGAAAACAATGATGAAAAATGTGGGTTACCCCACAAAAGAGTGAGAAAAAAGACCCTTGGTAATTTCACAACCAAAAATATCGTAATTTTAATTTTGTGATAGCCAGTGGTGGCAACAACGTCTGCCATCTGGGTTGGCAAGTGAGGGAAAAGGGTACGATTGGGGGGGGGGGGCAAGGTCCCCGGTTAGAGCAAAGTGGGTGTTGTCGGGTGACTATTAAAATGCTTCAAAAGTGATCCAGGGGGCTGAGCCTTGGAAAAATATGACAATTTAGGGGTTTGAGAGGCTTAATTAATCGATTTTATATATATAGTCTACTAATATGTAGAAAATAATTTTTTTTTAACCCTGACGAATTGTGGTTTTTCTTCTTTTCTGGGGGTGGCGGAAAACTGGGGAAAGCAAATTTTCTGGGGAAAATTCCCCCCGTAGCGCCGCCACTGGTGATAAGCCTTATTAATTTTCGGTCTTCGTGTACATGTAATCTAATAGACACTCTTTGTATTGTTTCATAACACACATTATACCTGTACCTGCAAATAAGTTTTGATTCGTCAGTTATTAATTTGATTGGGACTCAAGAGAGTACCGTATATTATACAATGTAATCTAATTGTAATCTAAAATTGTTCGTGTAAACAGAACGATAATTCTAATTAAAATTTTGATGTCTTCATTATGAAGTAAATGAAACAACTTGAGTAGCAGCAATTCTTTTAATGGCGTACAGTCAAGTCGAATTTGAAATTGATGGAAGTGTATTTTGGTTGCTTCAAAAACCTAATAATGTTGCTGCTGTCTTTGTTGAATGATGCGTTCATTGCCCTTCAATCAACAACTGTTTAGAACACGCTTTTTGATTTCTTTGTAAGTCTTACAAGATTATTTTAATTAAATTCAAAATGTATTTAAATGAGTAAAATCGCTCATCCCACACTCTATCATCATTCACATCACCACAATCAGAGTCCTTTACATCATCATCATAATTATCGTACACATTCACATCACCATTACCGTCATTATCATTCACTTCATCATCAGCAGCAGCATCATCATCATCATTGTCGTCGTCAATGTCGTCAATTTCGATGTCATTTGTATGGTATTCGAGAGACACACAACGGCGTCGTTCGTCCATTCGTCGATGACATAGGGAGCTTTCGATTTGTGGGACGACGCGACGTTAGAACGGAATCACTCATGCATGACCGTCCTAACTGTCGTCCTACGTTCTCTGCATACGTAGATTTGGCCAAATTCCGTTCCAGAATCTACTCGACGAGGTGACCTTAACGTTCTCGCATACACAGATGACTTTTAGTGACGTCATTATGTTCTACGTCCACCGTCGTCGTGCAATGGAAAGCTCCCTAATAAAAGTACTCAAATCGTTGTTAATTTTATATTTATTTTATTTATACATAAGTTCATTCATATAAAAACTATTATGCTCCTTTGTTTACATCCTCATTTCTAGGGGTTTACAAACAAGCAAAATACAGTACTCCGTTCGGTGACAGCAAAACGATAACCTACCAAAGGAAATCACAGTGTCGAAGCATGGAGGTATCTAATGTTACACGAACTTCTAGTCTACGTTGAATATGTCGTTACAAATTCAATTCGAGATACATTAAACATTGACCAGGATTTTGTCCAGAAAATAACATGGGCTAAAACCTAATAAATGTGGTCATCTCAGACCCGTTGGTAACATAATGAAATATCGCCCGGAATTGCGAATCTACCGTATTTATTGTAACGACAAAACAATTGGTCACTATATTCAATACTCGTGGCTTTAATACATACCCGGTATTGTTTTTGCGATTACCGTGATATATTAAAAACTACATGATTGTTCATTCTGATCAATCACGTATTTTCAGTTTTATTCAGATACAAAAGTTGACTTCATGAGATTGTGAATATTTATCACAACGCTGCTTTATATTCATCAGTGGGTCGTAAGTGTATTGTCAGAAAATATTTAATTTCGTTAAAGCTCCTTACCTAATGATCTATGTTCCTGATTAAATCTTGTCATGGGTATTTTTCCAACACTTGGTAGATGACATCTTTCATATAAAGCCGTCCGACATATTGTAATTTGCAAACTTCACAAAATTTGCTCTTCAAAATGTGCTTGTTGAAGCTACCACTCTCATCCCTTAAGTTTATTATCTCTACAGCGCTGATTTAATAGTTTAAAATAGTTGTTGTTTTCATTCACACATTACAAAACGTAGCTCATATTAACTATTGTTTGTGTATAGAGAACGTATTTGGCTGTTAACTAACGTGACATCGTCTTTTGATTTTCCCGGTAACAATATTTTTATTTTTTTAATATCAATAATATGATATACTGTATTGTTTATCATTGTATCTTGTATATCGTGTTTATCATTTTTAATAAGATGCTTAGGGTAGATTCGCAATTCGGAGAGGATAATTTTACTGGGCGACCAATTACCTCGTAAATTCTTATATTATTTAAAAAGGGGATTTACACACTTTAACCTCTATCGGTACCGTTTGTGATTACAATATTAAATTACCAATAAACGAATACGACTGTGGTTAGATAGCTAATGCGACAATAACAAAATATATTGAAAATGCCTTATGAAAATAGAACCTTCGATTTTGCTGACGTTTAAGATAAATTTGTACTCGAGAGTCAGGCCTATAATAAGTATTCAATATCCGTGGGTTTAATACGTATAAGTTTGCAGTTACTATGATATATCTAAACTCAGAAGATTGTTCATTCTGATCAATCACGTGTATTCGGCTGTCATCGTTGTCAAATACAAAAGTTAATGACGTTTGATTTCAGATTGTGAGTATTTATTACAACGTGCATTATAAGCATTAGTGTGCCGTAAGTGTACCGGTACCGTATATGATGTATTCTTATTGCCCGCAAAAATTACTATAATTTCTTTGAAAGGTCCTTACCTGTGTTTATGATTACATCTTGTCATGAGTGTTTCTCCAGCACTTAGTAGATGACATATTTAATAATGAAGTAAGCCGACATATTATAATGGCCAACTTCACGAAGGTGGCTGCCAAAAACACGATAATTCTCTCAGAAATATTTACTATCCCTCAAGCATATTATAAGGGCTGAATTAATTAGTCAAGTTTTCTTTCAATCATTCACACATTTAAATATTAGTTCATATTAACTATTGTTTTGTGCAGAGCACTATTTGGCTGTTAACATATGAAAACTATCACGTAACATATTTACTTCATTGTCTACTGAGGTATCTTCCCAGTAAAAATATTTTTGATTTAAATATCAATCAATCAACTTTTTTTCGGACGTACATATCCGTAGAATATAAGAAAAATAAATATAAAGATAAAGATGAATTTAAACTGTATGTATATACAAATTACAGAATACCTTTATAGATCTCTAATCATATTAATGCATTAGATAATGCCATTTAAAAGACAATGAATAATATGGTATCTTTGTTTATTATTGTAGTGATATGCAAAAGTGATTACAATATTTATTTACAGCGTTGTTCTTTCAGCATTACAATATTTTAGAGTGCCTCTAATACGCAACCAAGACATGTATTTATTTTGTTCATTCTCTATCCCAGAAGTGTTTTTAATGATATTGCTTTTAATTAACAAGCCAAACCTAACACCAGATTTACGTCGATTTACCCTGATTTGTATTATTCTTATTAAATATTGGTTATATAAATCCAAATATTTACATACCAGATTGATCTGGTTTGGTTTAGATTTAGTGCCCAACAGGCCCAATACCTTTTGTGTTAATGTGCTGGATGCATTACCCACAATGATCGTACAATACGTTAATATTCGATTGTTATGAAACACCACCACATTTACC